CACCTTTCAAGATAACAGTGGCTATATTTTCTCGTTTGTAATTATTGAAAATAGAGGCGATTTTCTAGTATTGCTTGCGAAGTCGAGGTTTCAACCATGAGATAGCAATTACCTGGCTTCCTGCTAGAATATCCCGCCGCTTTATGCTGATATCTGATTTGTCAGATCCTGTGATTCTGTTCACTCTAGGACTCAAGCAGGCTGGCAAGGTTTAACGAGGATATAAGATTTAGTGCTTACAAGAGGCTTTGCCCGTTCCTACCGGTTTCCTGGATGTAGGCACTGGTAGGCCGTTTCAAGAATTTGACAGGACTGGCTTGCATTTGAGCAGATTTGACGTCTGTTCTAGCACTTCTATGCGCACCTACGTCAAAGTGCGTTTTTCATCACGATTTATATTACTAACCGAACAGTTTATTATTAGTGGCTTACACTTGATAGGCGTTCCCAACGCAAACACTTCTGGTGTCCTAGTTCACATTTTGACAACTTGTCGTCTACATCATAAAAGTGAAGGTAAGCGTATAAGTTTCAGAGTTTGTAACACATATCTGATGTAGTGCCGAAGCTCGCTTCGCTCTCGATCACAGACTGATCTCATAATACTACGTCGCACTTCCCCGGATAATGTTGTGGCGCCAAAGAACACCCCCACGCTGTTATGCACCGGGGAACCCCCGCGTGGCGTCTTGGCAAATATGCCCATCTCAGCTCTCCCGGGTTGGAAATCTCACGCAGTCCCAATCCTGTTCCTGTTGAAAACCCGGCTGGACCCCCATCGACTCCGCTCAGGTTTGTCGGGTTGCCTTTAGACCCTTTCCTCAAGTCTCACTACGGCCCATCGCATATGCAAGTCTGTCGTTTCGGTATGGGCGAGCTATGTCGCGGATAAATGGCCTCCCAACTACCAACACCGGGAGGTGGAGGTGGAGGAACCGGCTACAAACGCGCCAGCCGGAAGGGTGCTCCTCGCAAGTTCGCTTGCAACTGGACAGGATGCGACAAGATTTACTCAAGAGCTGAGCATCTTCAGAGACATCAATTGAACCGTAAGGCTGAATCTAGATCTCCCCTGATCCGCTCCTGTGGGTCGAGCTGATGATGATCGATGTTACGACGGCTGACCTGTGACCCCAAGATGCCCCCAAGGAGATCTACGAATGCGATGTTACAGATTGCAATCAGACCTTTGTCAGGCCAGATCTGTTGCAGCGGCACAAGAAGCGTCATTCGGCTTCGTATATTCCCAGAAACCGCACAAGCAGCTTCAACATCCCTACGCCAAAGGACACGGCCCAAGACATCTCCGTGATGTCTTCGCCAAGTGTCGCAAGTGCTGGATTACCAAGACCAATGACATTCCCCCCACAGCCGGCAAGTGCCCCTCGCAATGCTTCTGTTCTCTTGACGACGGACTCTCCGGTCCAACCTCAACTGCCACCGCCGCCGCCTCCCCCAGCCCATCCTCCCCCACCCCTGACGGCTACTCAGCTGAGTCCCATTGCACATAATGGCCCCTGGACGCCTTCGATGGAAGGGGTAAACATGATGCGGCCGAAGCCGGAATTCTATAGTCGTGAACAGGCATCTATGAATGATCAGTCAACTTTCGTCCCTTATCCCAACGTCCAGGTCCCGACTCATGTTGGCGGTGTTCCTTTTACCGAATGGCTCTTTACCCCTGCAGTGCATGGTGTTTATTCAGACATTAGCAACATTGCCTTCCTCGAAGGCGGTCTCGAATCACCCTTCAACAATAACATCCGCTACGACTACGAGTCTCTGACTAGTAGATCCCAGCTTGATCTGACGCCACCACAACCCACTGATACGCCAGATGGGCTTATCTCTGAGTATCGCGGGCAGGAAATTCTTCGTTATGTTCAAATGTTCTATCAAAAGTATGGCAAGTTCGACTCGAAGCTGGCTAGCTTCGTGCACGAAGCAGGCGGCGATACCCCCGGCTTGAGCTTAGAGTTCTTGGGAGATTGCATACGCTATTATTGGGACTTCGTATCACCACGGTTGCCGATCGTCCACCAACCGACGTTTTCCCCCACTCGCTGCTCGATTTTTCTCATCCTAGTCATGATCGCGTTAGGTGCTGCTCAGATGCACAACCAAGACTCAACAAGAGAGCATCCGGAGTACAGAACATTCGCCGATCTCATCATACTGCATGTTCGGTTCGAGTTATTGGCCGAGGGAGCGTCGCCCCCGGTAGAACTATGGGCTGCTCAGGCACTGATGTTGTTGGAATTTTACGAGAAGACGTATTCGACTAGACTCTTGCATGAGAGGGCCCACGTCTATCATTCGGTGACTCTAACTCTGCTTAGAAGAGGTAGCCCCCTGATCGGCCAAAATGGCGGCAATACAACGCCTGAAGAGCAGAACGAAACGGAGCACCCCGCGGCGTCGGATGTACGGACGTGGTGGACTCGGTGGGCTGAGACGGAAGCAATGCACAGAGTCGTCTTTGCTGCATTCATGATGGATGCTGTCCATGCTGCTATGTTCGGACACACGGCAGATATGGCGCCCCACGAGATTCGGCTCCCGCTGCCGTGTGACGATTCCCTGTGGTGCGCGTCGAGTCCGGAATTAGTGCGTCATCAGGACGGAAGATTTAGGATGTACGGCATTAGGCCGGTATCGTTTTTGGACGGATTAAAGCGTGCCATCCACGGCAAAGAAGTTCAAACGCACTCTTTCGGCCGCATGATCATCATGTGTGGTCTACTCAGCGTCGGCTGGCACATAAGACACCACGAGACGCATCTGAGGTGGCTGGAGCTGGGATCCAACTTCTCCGATACGAGGGATAAATGGTGCAAGATGCTGCTGAAAGCATTTGACGACTGGAAGGCCAGCTTTGACGTTGCGGTGGGCTCGGACGATTCAGAGTCGGAGGGAGGATCCGGACAGCAATCAGGCTCAAACGGGCTAATTCAGAGCGCGTCTGTGTTATACCACCTAGCTCATATCAGCTTGTACATCGACATTGTCGACTGTCAGGTTTATGCAGGGGCAAAGGCATTACTTGGACGAAAGATTTCAAGGAGGGATTACACTAACGTTGTCTCGCGAATGTCTGTATGGGCTTCTCAACTTACGACACGCTATGCTGTCCTGCATGCCTTTAAACTCCTCCACCGTGTGCTCGTGGACCCTCGCCAGAAAAGGAGCACAGGCTATCAGACGAGTGTCTTTCAATACTCATGTCGGAGCGACCCTGATCCACATAGACCGTGGATCATGTATTACGCTACGTTGAGCATATGGTCTTTTGTTCGAGCGCTGGGGTCATCGAGGAGTCAGTCGAACAGCTTTCGGCCGTTCTCTTCGCATCTCCATCGCAACCCTGGCGGGATAGTCGAGTACCTCAGCAAGGTCGCAAGACTGAATGAGCTTGATGTCACGACTTCTACGAATCTCCAAGATGGGTTGCCAGAGCTGCTTGATGCTGTAGGAGCCCTTACAGCTGAGTCGCCTTCTGAGTTATTGAAGGAAGCTTGTGGTCGACTTGTGGATTGTAAGGTGATGCTACATGGAGGTGCACCTTGAAGGTGATGTCTCAGATACTTCAGCTCCGACTTCGGGGTGAGCTGTGCCAAATGCGGCTTGTTATACAATTGTATTGTCTTGTCGCCGGATCCATCAAATGTGACGTCTTGTACTACACGTTATTTAGCACAAAGATTGTCACTTTCACAAAGAATTCTTAACAATTGGTAGGTGCACATCAGAGCTATATTTTCAATATTCTAACCAATCACAGGCACTTTTACTGGCTATTCAATTTAATTAATATGTTTTAATGAGATTCATGAGACTTGTACAAGCACGATGAACCTAACATATAAGGATCAAATATATATATAGAAACAGTAATTGTAATTAAGAACTACAGGTTATATAACTTACCTATCTAACGCGGCTTAACCGTCTAGGCCTTTATGCTCTTCACCAATAAGGACGAGCCGTGACCTCAGGCAAACTGCCTATGGGAAAGTTGGCGAGAGCCATAACAGCCTCACGAAACTCAATGTCGTCGCTCGGTCGCTGGATGCTGGACTGGAGTCTTCTGAGTTTACAAGTCATTGGGCTATACTTACGAATATGCATCTCCAGATTATCCGATACCTCCCGTACATAGCTGCGCGGTATAGCGCCTAGAGGGCTCATCGAAGCATCGAGGAGGGACTGGCACGCACACATCATGCAACGGGAGCGAACGGGGATCGTTTCGGTGAAGACCAAGGGATCGCTGCCGAAGGACTTGTCGTGAGTGTGTACACAATGTCCACAAGCGAACTCGTCTCTGGTGATGAAGGTCGGCATGGTGAGCGGGCTTATATATAACCTCGTACTGTGCTGAGTTGCGAGGTTAAGCAGAATGTGATCGAATCGATGGAATATCGATGTTATGTATAATAATCTGTTTGTGGATGCTGGGAACAACGCTATTATTGCGCGTTTATGTAGAGATATATTTCAAAGGAAATATGGCTTTATATACGTGGGTTCTTTATCTTTACTTTGTGGCATTGTCAATGCTAAAGCAAGATTCATGGTGATTGACTCTTGTCTTCTAGAATTGTAGGCGCAAGTGGCTTTGAATGCCTTGAATGCCCATTGTTAGAACAGGCTCATGGCCAGACAAGAGAGAAGCAGTGTTTTCCGAAAGGATTGCGGGTATAATGAAGCGATAGGGTATCTACTGAGTAGAGAGCTTCCAGACTCCGTACATTTTGTATGTCTAAGCACAAATAGAAACAGTTCTCACACATACGTATCTTGAAACACAGCAACTAACAGAGTCCGTTCTAATAGATACAATAAATGACAGAGCTAACATCAAGTAGAAGGTGATGCCATACGCTTGATTAGCTAGCGTAACACACGATAGTCCGTTCTGTGTAGTTCCCGATTAGGGTTGTGGAGCAAACGACAAAATAGGGCCAGAGAAAAAAGTTTTCTTAAAAAAAATTGAGCACTAGCTTCACTCTGTTTCGATCAGAGGACCTCCGGGTTATGAGCCCGGCGCTGTAATGTTTGTTAGTTAAATGTTCAAGGTGAGGGTGACGAGTTTATATAACATACCGCTTCCGCTGCGCCATGAAGCTTTTCTTGTGTCTCCACTTTGTGATACGGGTTTGTTATGCTAGTTTTTAATCATCTCCCCCCAAGGCTTACCATAGAAGCCTTTTGGCTGTGTTTGTATGCTTAATCCGTGCTACAGATATGACTCACGGGATTCTCCGCTACACACGCGTGCGCATATCAAACAAACCTAGCACACAAAGTCTGGTGTGGGCGTACGAGGAATGCAGATGGCCGAGCCACGACTGCTTCAGTAGCACAATCTAGATAACAGAGTATATGATATGCTATGACTGTGTGGTAGCACGGGGATGCAAGTTCCCGGTAAGTTTCTGACAGGTAACGGCTTACTAGGCGCGGTGATACAGCCAGTTATTCAGTGATAAGCCATGTAACACAGGAGTACTATTCTTGATTGTGAATAGTGTCTAATTTCTAAGTTCACTCTATCTCTCATATCTTTGGATGTAGGCTCGTGTTGTTTAACCCCTTGGTTATAACATGGAAGATGAATAGTTTTCAGGTTTTGTGCACTCAATATGGGTCTAAATGTAACATATAAGCCCAATCATGTCGTTACACCGTTCAAGTAGTTCAGCTACTATTTCAGGTTGTCTTAAAGCAATAACTTACTCAGTTTCCTGAGACTGCACATGAGTCTCGAAAGTTACAAGATTAGTCCAACTGTAGTTCATATGATAGAGATCTAGTATAACCCCTTATCTTAAAATGCTGCCAGATTAATTAATCTAGTTTTCTAAAGTCCCATGTTTAACCCTGTTGCTGAGACTTATTAGGCTTCCGGAGCATAAGAGTCTCAAGGTACGTGACACCTTCTATAGCAATCTCATCTAGAGCTTCGAACCCCATCTTTTTATATAGATGAACCCCGGCTGGGCTCGCTGCCACAAACGCCTCGGCCCCATCTTCATCAGCTCTGCTCGTACCCCACCGCACAAGTTCCTTGCCTATGCCTTTCCCCTGATACTCCCTTCTGGTCCCCAGGACACTGAGATACCAGTGCGGGCGACCTTTCATCGTGTCCTCATGATACTTGTCTATCGTCCCGAAGAAGGTATCTGCGAAGGCTAAATCCGCACCTTCTGGCCAAGGGTGAGGTGCCGGCGAAGGGGGAGACTCCGGAGTGAGTGGTTTGATCCACTTGGCGAACCCAACGACTTTCTCTGGAGGTGAAGACGCTGGGTCGGTCATGACTATATAATCCGCGTTTGGATCCACGAGCTCATCTTTCAAGGATTTATTCCAGAATTCGTGCACATGCTCTGAGGATGGATCTAATACCCGCTTGGAGAGTGGATGGTCTCGGAATGAGTCGTTGTGCGCATCGACGATACCAGGGATATCGGAGATTGTTGCTTTTCGGAGTGTAAATGCCATTATGATCTAGAGCAAGCGATACTTGAGTCCTGAGAAGAGGGAATTATACGAAGTTTGAATGCACTTGAATAGATGCACTTTTATCCTCCCACGGAGCAAGACCTGCGTCCTTTCACTATGAGTTGATTGTTATATGGTTGCGTTGGTATAAGTGAAGCTATAGTCAGCCTGAGGGCATCGTATGTTTGCAAAGCGGTAGCGGAACGGTGAGTCACGCCATAGCCAATAATAGGAGACTGGATCCATTATTGACCCAGCTCGGGAGAGCTGCTTACTTCATCATTCTTGTTTGTCTGCTTCTCACCTTTTATACGAACAAACAGACGGCCAAGCGGCGTAGGCTGGGCTGTCCTTGAGTCTAACCAATAAGATATAAGGATGACCTAATGCATAATACACATGAATTGTCGCACAGCCCTACCTCAACACGTGGAGCCGGTGTATCCGTGGGTGACATTGATTTGGGAATTTCCTCCTGGAACATATAAGCAGGGCCTCACAGACTCAAAGTCGGTATCGTCGTTGTCGATATAACCGTATAGTTGCACGAGTGTTGAGTCTCATTTAGGCTAACAGTGCAACCCCACAGAAACTTGAGTATATCTATAGATTGAATCTGCGCTGTAACGAGACGATGATCATATCATCTCACCGCCGCTAACCCATAGTGGGTAGAGTCCACCTCTATTCAAAACGTCGGGACAATTCGTCCATCTAGCTGTGTGAATTGGGGTATTCTCCAAAACTGCCGCCAGCATCGTGAGTGCGAGTCAGGTGTCCTCGGCATGCAGTAGTATCCCCACGTTGGCTAAGCCCATACCCCGTTACGAATGGGGAAGAGATCTGGGGACTAGCCTGGCCCATGGGGACCCCACGATACGTACGTATATTAAGATGTACTATAATCTACTCCCGTGCCTAGAGTTCATTAGACCGCGGCAAGGTTGTCGTGCGGAGAGGGCGCTGCTGGCCCCGCGAATGAGATCCCGTCTTTTAAATAGCAGCTAGGTTATTGATGAATCTGGGGAATGCAACTTTATCTTGTTGAGGTTCTTCATTTAGACGACCGTAGCACACACCGGGTACGTACGATGGAACAACAACACCCGATTCTACCTTCGTTAAATGGCGGCCAAGTCCCGCTTAATGTCCTGGGGGATTCCCCGGCCAACTTCTACTTCAGGTGAGCAACAATGGCTGGGCTCTGGCTGTTTTTGGGTGCAAGCATCTTGACGCTTTTCAGCGAGGCCGCATCACCGCCACCGCTGGTTCTACGGACGTGGGACGGTATAGATTATGGCTGCAAGTGTTATCTCGGAGACGACTGCTGGCCGAACGAGAGCGCATGGGCGGGGTTGAATTCAACCGTGGAGGGAAACCTCCAAATAGTGATTCCGCCAGGAGCAGCTTGTCACAATGTACGTCAAGGGCTGATCGCTTGGGTAATAAGTTTGAAGAAGGGAAGTCAATATTGATCTGGGCCTTAGACGTTTGAAGGCCCCCTCGGCACACTTTCCACCTACGATGCAGAAGCCTGCGCTGATGTGACAAATAACTTCGTCAGTGAGAGCTGGACGTCAGTTAGTCCCGATCCTGGTCTCATATACAATATTGACAAAGCAGTACAGCACTGAAAGGCCCGAGGCCGCATTGTGGACGTACTTCACGAACGACACTTGCCGTCCGACAGGAAACCCCGAAGAACCTTGCACTCTTGGTAATTACGGTGTATATTTGATTTTAGCCCAGACCAAGGATCATATCAAGGCGGGTATAGATTTTGCTAGGGAGAAAAACTTGCGGCTCGTCATTCGAAACACCGGCCATGACTTTATTGGACGCAGTACCGGATGGGGCTCGTTGGTTATTAACACGCATAGTTTCCAAGACCTCAGCTTCACTACGAAGTATGATGGCCCTGGACACTACAAGGGAGGCGCTGTCACTATGGGTGCAGGAGTTCAGGGTAGTGCATTGCTCGGAGAGGCCAATGCACAGAACCCCCCTGTTGCGGTTCTGACAGGAGAATGTCCAGTAAGTATACAAGTGACATTTAAATACAGAGATGGGGGCTAATGATTTGGTAGACGGTCGGCGTGGCTGGTGGACTGGTTCAAGGAGGTGGCCACGGTCCCCTGACACCAACATACGGGCTGACCGCAGACACTGCATTGTCATTTGATGTAGTGACAGCAGATGGCGAGTTCCTGACTGCGAATTCTGAGGAGAATACCGATTTGTTTTGGGCTTTGAAAGGAGGTGGTCCATCAACATACGCCGTAGTCCTTTCGGTCACTTTGAAAACGTTCCCTGAGCAGAAGTCTACCGGCGTCATCTTTAGTATCAACGCGACTCATACTAGTGATATCGATGTTTTCTGGGATGGCGTAAAGTCGTTCCACAAGTTCTCGAATCACTTTGTTGATTCCGGCCTCTACGCGTACTTTGAGCTTATGGCATTGCGCTTACAAGTTCAGCCCTTTGTTGGTTTCGGGAAAACTTCAGAAGATATGGCCGCCATCCTCAAACCGTTCTTTGAGGAATTAGAGAAGAAAGGCATCGCTTATGATACTGTCAGCAAGGAGTTTGACACGCTGTATGATCTGTACACCGATCTCTTCGAGGGAGAGGCTGCCGGCACCTCGGCTCTCACTGGCGGGTGGATGTTCGCTCACGAAGATGTCGAGAGGAACAATGATGAGATCATCGAAGCATTCAAGACGGTTGTATCTCCGCGAGAGGATTTGGCTAACCAAGGATTCATGATTGGCCACCTCTGGGACGCTGGTCATACCGTAAAGGTCTCAAACAGTGCAACTAATCCGCGGTTTAGGAAGTCGACGAATTTTGCTATCGTCGCACTTCCAGTTCCTTTCGGTGCAACTTTAGACCAGAAAGCAGACCTCCAGAACGTGCTCACTCACGTTCAAGATGATGCTATGAGGAAAGCAGGTCCGAACGGATGTGCCTACATAAATGAAGTGAGCATTGATATTTCCTGACCCTTAGTCCCTTAGTTCTGCAAAGCTGACGGTCTTTCAGGGTGATCCATACCAACCAGACTGGCAGGACCACTTCTGGGGTTCTGAATACCCCAAGTTGCTTAAGATTCGCAAGAAGTGGGATCCTCATGGCGTCTTCTATGCGGTTTCGACGCCAGGGACTGAGGATTGGGAGGTCATTGAATACGGAACGAGACTCTGCCGTAAGATTTGAGTACATAATTATGATTGAATTTGTTAAGAAGTCATTAGCGGGCAAGCGAATATGAGATTTAAATAGCTGGGTGTATATATGATGCTGGTGTTCGAGGCGGTTTCTCAGAACCTAGAACTCGAGAGCATTAGAATAGAGTCATTTGAGCTTGATTTATGTTAGCGTATAGTCAGGTATCTTAAACTTAGTATAAGGAAGACTTTAAATCTAACTACTTATATAGAGTGTGGATTTTAATCGAAGACCTACTCTGAGTCTGAGTCTATCCAAGACTCACTGCTTCTGCCCTTATGTATGATTGACATAGACTTAGCTTTACATATATAATGCGTAGGATAATTTCATACATAGGTAGCCTCAGGTTATAGGTTCGACTGCCTACAGCTAAATACTTGGTTGAGTGGTAACA